ACTATCTCATTGCTATTTGTTTCTCAATAAAATTAATAAAAAAGTAAAACAAATAAATAAATAAACTCTACGATATTTTGTGAGAGAAAAGAATTATCCTAAACTCTAGAATGATTTTGTTATTGCTGTCTCCTATTTGCTTCATCAGTAGAGTGACCTTTGGACTCATCCAGTGGTTTTCATTTTTCAGTAGAAAAAGCCTTTTGGAGCCAGCATTTTATGCAAAAATCTCCTTGTAAATACAAACAAGTGGTAAAAACATGTGTAGAAGCGTAGAATCCGTAGTGAGCTGAGGGCAGCAGTTTATGTGGGGTAAGAAGAAGACCCCAGGATGTACCGCCGGTCCCTCACCTGCCCACGTGCTCTATGGAAGCCAACCTTGGCTGCCAGATAATTCCTCGGATCCACAGAGCACACTTAGGAAATCTTGTGGTTACCCAATCTTCAAGCTCCTTCACAATTCTGAGATGTAGTTCTCAATTTGTTAAAGCACTGAAAATCATATCATCTGCTTAGGAAAGAAGTAATACAGGAAATATAAATTGTCTCCATTCTAAAGGGCCCCCCCTGGTTGAAAGGGTGCCACAATTTAACCATCATGCCACAGTCATCCACTTACATGTTCTATAACACAGCGCTACATTGGAAGGAAATAGTTCCAAGTTAGGAAATGAAGACGTTCAGTAAGCCCCAAATAACTTCACAAAATGCTCAGGAAAGCTCTTAGTTGAGTTTAAATTCCTTAGTTGTCTCTATGCTTAACTGGGGAAAATATGGAAAAAATAATAATTTTTTGGTTATTTTTAAAGCAGAATGTTCTTAAATGAAAATCGTCACTTCCCAGCCTGGGTCGATACTTTAAACTCGGTCCGTATGCACAATAAACAGCCATTAGATCTTTGTGATCGTAGATTATGGAAGAATAAAAAATGAGTTGGAGGACAGCATGTCGTACACAGCGGCTGATTGCCCGGGGAAAGAGCCCCTGAAGAGAAGCTGCCCTTCTCGAGAGGCTATTTTCCTTGCCAGTTACTAAAATGGATTTGATGAGTGGAGGTGGGAATAATGGCTTTCCCTGCGACTAATTTCAGATGTCCTTTATGAACAAGGATTTCTAACTCTGTAAAACACAGGAAAGAAATAAAAGCAAGGTTTTACTAATCCCAAAAGGATCTCAGGCGAAAAGGTCCCAGCAGTTACTGTATATAGAAACTGTGCCACAGCTCCCCCTTTGTGCAAGTCCTTAGCTAGGATCATTACTTTCCGACAGTGTCTTACAGAGACCTATTTTCTAGCACTTCAGGGAAGTTAATGACCAAGTCTGGGGACACCTTCAGACCTGGAAGTGAAGTCGCCCGTGTTTGCTCCCGGTAGCCGTTAACTCTTGTGTCCTTCGCAGGTCCCTGGGGCCGGTGCATGGGAGACGGGTGCGGCCCGGGCGGCGTGCAGACCAGGGCCGTGTGGTGCGCGCACGCCGAGGGCTGGACCACGCTGCACACCAACTGCAAGCAGGTCGGGAGGCCCAGTAACCAGCAGAACTGCTTCAAAGTGTGCGACTGGCACAAAGAGTTGTACGACTGGAGACTGGGGCCCTGGAATCAGTGCCAGCCGGTGATCTCGAAAAGCCTGGAGAGAGCCCTGGAGTGCACCCGGGGCGAAGAGGGCATTCAGGTGAGGGAGATCGCGTGCGTGCAGAAAGACAAGGACCTTCCCGCGGAGGACACCATCTGCGAGTACTTCGAGCCCAAGCCACTCCTCGAGCAAGCTTGCCTCATTCCTTGCCGGCAGGACTGCATCGTGTCGCAGTTCTCCGTGTGGTCCGAGTGCTCCAAGACCTGCGGCAGCGGGCTCCAGCACCGCACGCGGCACGTGGTGGCGCCGCCCCGCTTCGGGGGCTCGGGCTGCCCCAACCTGACCGAGTTCCAGGTGTGCCAGGCCGGGCCGTGCGAGGCCGAGGAGAGCCTGTACAGCTTGCAGGTGACGCCGTGGAGCACGTGCGTCCTGCCGCACCTGCGACCCGCCAGGCAGGCCAGGAGGCGGGGCAGGAATAGGGACCGCGGCAAGGGCGTCAAGGACCCAGAGGCCCGGGAGCTCCTCAAGAAAAAGCGAAACAGAAACAGGCAGAACAGGCAGGAGAACAGACACTGGGACATCCAGATCGGATACCAGACCAGGGAGGTGGTGTGCATTAATAAAACAGGAAAAGTTGCTGACTTGAGGTAAGGTTTGTTTCTATTAGCAAGTGTCTGTCTGTCTGTCTGTCTGTCTGTCTGTCTGTCTGTCTGTCTGTCTGTCTATCTAGACCATGCATACTAAAAGCACTACTATACTTCTGCACTAAACTGAGTGAATGCAAGTTTCAACTTGAGCTACAGCTCCACTACGGCCCTGTGTTACACGTTTTAAAGCAAGCTGTGCCCAAGTTCCAGAGGTGCCTAGACTTCCCTCAAAATTGTGATCCTCCTACCTCAGCCTCCCAGATAGCTGGGATTACAGGACTACACCACCACACCTGGCTTAGGCAGGTCTTTGAAGGATAGTCTGTTGTAGTAATTATTTTATGAATAGGAATTAATATTAAATTAAGTTAAATATTGAAACCTAGTAAAAGTTTCCCCAAATGGAAGGTTTTTGAGTTTTGTGGGCTTCTTGATGTTTTATTCTGCCCACTTTTCCTGAGTTAATGTAACTTTTTAAGTCTAATGCATGAATAATTCTCCATGAGAAGACGCTACTCCCTTAGATCAATGCTGTTCTTTTTCCCCATAACGACAGAAAAATGAAAGCATTACCAGAGGGCAGAGGTATTAGAATTCTGAATTTGGACACTTATTTTAGTGAATAAATAAAATAAACATACTTGGAATCTCTCCAATTTTGTAGCACTTTCAGAATTACCCTGTAAACAAAATCTGCTATAAACAACAATCTAGGGAGCTATACCTAAGATAATTTTCTTGTACATTTTATATAGTAAAATAACTCTCTCTTGAGAAGACAGGGACCCAGAGAAACTAAGATAAACACAGGGCATTTCAGCACAAGGGGCCTAGCTTAGAAAGCATAATTCATTGGCTGTATTTCCTAGAGGGAAATTACTTAAATTATCTTTGGGTACATAATGACTGTATTATGAAAGACTACCTCATGTATGATTTATTTGTTATGAAAATAATATTCATTGAGGATTAGTCAAAGGATGTGATGTTCTCTGGACATTCTAAATTTTGTTTTTGGATTAGCCAACCATCTGGAGGTGGCTTATCTGGATTATTTGCATAATTGTCTTTTCTGAAATATTTATGAAGTTATGATCTAGACAGAACTGAGGAAATTATAGGATCATTACTCATAATTTTGTATCATACTTATTGTAGAAATGACATTGAAAGTGTCGTCTACTTTATCATGCAGTCTGTTCCCCTGATTAAAAGCATAAGACAAATTTCACTGCCACTTCAACCCATATGCTTCTGGTGAACAGCTGGATGGTTTTCCTTATTGCCTCTGGAAGTCTTTGCACACCACACTTTGCTGTTCTGTTTACGCTGTTGAACACCTAGTTAGGTGTGTTGCTTGTTACTCTATCCCTCTAGCTTTATTTATTTTTTTCTCACGCTCACTATTCTTGTCTAGGGATTTTGCTACATAGAGATTTTGCAGTATGGCCAAAAGCCTGTTTGGGGTAGGATACAGTTTAAATAAATCAGTAAATGAAAACAAATGATTTATCTAAGACAATAACTTTTTCTCCTAATAGCATTATTCTGTTTGCTACTTTTAGAATATCGGATTGGCTACCCTCTGCGCCCTTTTATGTACTTACACAATTGTCCTTTATTTCAGATCGATAGCAGTTTGCTCTTTCTCCATTCCAGTAGTGTTGTCATTCCAGCTTCCCTGGTCTCGTCTTCTTCGAGAGGGATTTTGGTCTTCTTCCTCTACAGCTCTTTTAATGTGGGTGTGTGCGTGTGTGCACCTCTGATGCTGGGTCGTATGTATCCTCCATCAAATCTTTATTCTTTTCTATTTATTTTTATTTTGGTTATTTCCTGACCTTCTTTCTTCAAGTATTTCAGTTTAATCAGTTTCTCGGCTCCCACTAAGGATTTGAATGAGGCCGCAAGACAGAATTCCTCATCTCCTGCCCTGGCTCACAGTGTGGTGGGCGTTTAATCCTGGGTCCTCCATTAGAGCATGATTAGGGTGGTGTTGGCCTCCACACAGAATCCAGTACTCTTATCCAGTCGTTTGAATTAGAAAGCATACCTAAAAACATGGTGATTGTCAGGTGTTCATAGCAGATTAGAAATGCATGTTTCTCTGTTCCAGTGAAATGATTTCTATAAATACTTTCTGATTTACACTTCATGTTAAATAATAAAATTTAGTTGTTAGTATTTCTGTTTAATATTAATCATCATGTATGGTTGAGAAGGTTAAAGTCCTAGTGAAGAAGCAAAAGCTTCACTTATTTTGAATATATCTTGTTCATACATTACATTTTAATATCAGTGAAACTAATAGATAAAATCAATAGAATTATCAAAGCACAGGGCCACAAATCAAGGATTTACAGATCAAGATTACAATATTTTGTCTTGCTCAGTGGCCCAGCACCTGCCTGACAAATGTAAGGTTGTGAATTTGATTCCTGGTACAGAAAAAGAAAAGAACTAAAATGATTTAAGGAAAGATTTAAAAATTACTTAATAAAGGCAAAAGTGTCTTTTTACAGAAACTAAATGAATTTAGCCAGATAAACCTGAGAGTCTTAAAGAAACTGCTCATAAGCAAATAAATGATATTAAGAATTGTTGCTAACATGTTCAAATTAAAGGCTGTAGATCTGTCCTGATTTCTGCTTTCAAATAGACAGAAATCAATAAAAACTGAAGCATAAATGAGAGTCAATTGTTTTGTGAAAACAGGAAAGAGCCACAGCCCAGAATCACAGTTGATGCAGGAGATTTTGTAATGTGGAATTAGACCCACTCTGTCCTTATTGCCCACTGAGGACTATGAGCCTGACCAGCTGAAAGATTAGTTTTGAGACTCTGTGGAAGGGAATTCAGACTCTCACTTGAGGAGAAGCATTCCATGAACCTGTCACTTCTAGTTAGGCTTGTCAGTCGAATCATACCCTGACCACGATTGATGTGATAGTCCAGCACACATTTCTCTAGGAAAACAAAGCTAATGAAGAAGTATGCTTTTCTAAACTCAAAACAGGAGATAATGAAATTAAATGAGGTTCAAAGAGACATAGCAGAGCTCAGAAAAATAAAATAGAGAAATATAAAATAAAAACAGAAAAAAGTCACATCGAAAGCAACAAAAAGTGGAAGCACATTTAATGGTAACAAAAGTCAGTGGAACAGAACACTTTGAGAATAAAAAGTTGACCAATGCTTTAAAGAAGTAATGGATATGGAAAAAACAAGAAATAAAACAGAAAAAATGCAGAGAAAGCTTTTCTCAAATTAAAGAACACTTTGCTCACGCATGAAACTTGCACAGCTCCAAGATTCTGCTAGAAGGAGCTGAAACAGTCAGTGGTGGAAAAACTGATAGAAGCTGATTTTTTAATTTAGAGAAGTAGAAAAAGAAGCATCGGAGTGGAAACTTACACGATCCTCAATTGTGAGGCGCAGGAGCATTTCGTTTAAACTATAAAGATAAGATAGCAAAGTATGATTTCTCCAATTTCATTAAGATATTGTTAGCTAACATAGTTAAGAAGAAAAAAATGAAAATTTGAAAATGGTAAAATTGATTTTTTCATATATTTTAGTTGTATATTAGAAAACTCAAGAGAATAAACTGACAGCAAAACAGTTCAATAAGATATGCAAGTATGAAAATAACATCCAAAATCCAGTACATTCACTAGACATGCACAACAATCAAAAGTTATAATGAAAACAAAAGGTTAAAATATCTTATTTACAATAGTATGTAAATAATCCTAATTATGTAAGTTTTGCATTAGATGTCAAACTTATAAAAGTACCAAACTTCATGCATTCTAGAATATTTAGTAGATATAGAAGTTGCCTTCCCATGGTGACTATAAAATTTAGTGGGGAAAATATAGAAGACAGACTAGAAAGATAAAAACAGAGACACCTAACTTTCTAAGATAATTAAATCCATTACATTATGGTAATAGCAACAATAATAGCAACAGTTTTATTTTGGTGAATGAGTAGATCTAACTCTAAGAAAGGTGGTCTTCAGTGAAGGGCCATTTCTAGCTGGCACCAGTGTGAAGAGGGGCAGTATAGCCTAATGAATTTGTTTGGAAGTAATTGGTTTCTCATACCAAGGAAGAAAGAAGGAGTAGAAGATAAAGGTCTGATTCCCTTTGTCACTGTTGCACCAAAAATTTGGGTTTGTTTAAGAATTAAAAATACATTTTGAAAAAGTACTAGAAGACAACAGAGTTTTTGAAGTCCTAAAATTAGACAGATTACTCTAAACTAAGCTCCAGGCTGCAGAGATCAAATAAGAAGGCAATGATGCATTTCATTATATTGTATTAAAAATGAAGATTTTGTTTAGGAGGAAAAATATGTTTTATCTATGTCATATATAAGTATATCCAGATAGAAAATTTAAATAAAAGAGAGACAGAAATAGATACCATCAAGAAAGTCACTTTTCTCAAAAGTCAACGAATGCTTATAGAGCCTTAAGAGAAAAGGTTGGAATTATTTAATATATAAAGTAGTGAACAATGGGTGCATATCATAGAACGTTTTCCTAATCTTAAATCATAGAAATAAGAGTAGATTCCAGTTTTGCCTGTTAAATTGGCATATAATGTTTGATAATTGCACAAAAATCACTATGATGCTACACAATTTCAGGGGTTCTCGATGCATGAGACTCAGCATATGGCTTCACTCAAGGCTACGGATTTTTACAATTAAAGGATAAAAGGCAAAATCCGCAAAGGGTACATGCAAGGCCCCTGTTTATACAAGCAGATTAGCCAAAGAAAGCCACCTAGCAAGACAACTGATAGCCATGTAGGAAATCTTCCAAGTTAAGTTCACAAATACCAGCCAACTGCCCAAGTGGCAGCCATCTAACACAGCTTTCTTGCTTGCTTGATGGCTTGATTTCTGCCTGCCTGCCTGCCTGCCTGCCTGCCTGCCTGCCTGCCTGCCTGCCTGCCTGCCTGCCTGCCTGCCTGCCTCCCT